AAAAAAAACTTGGCCAAACACCTCAAATTTAGACAAAAGTACCTTTTGGGGAAAAAAGCACTTGTGGCCTTGGGAGAAGCTTGGCCAAACATGCTATGAATCAAGTGTATGCTTCAAAAATCTTGTTTGCTATTTTCTACCTTTTGAGAGACTTGCATTCTTAGTTATCAGTTTCCTCCCCAGTAAAATGACTCTTATAAGCAATTCAAACAGATTTCCAGGTTGCTTGCGGCAGTTTATGTACTTTCGACTTCTGATAAGTCTTTTAGTATACCACCTAGCAAAACAATCTCTGAAAGCCAATGGGCATCGTTCTTCCATCAAGCTTCAATTGGTACTTGTCTCAATCAACACTTCTTTTCTTGCCCATTGAAGAAGCAAAAAGCTGAAAATGTTGTGGATTATGAGGTATGTGTTCTTAGATTAGTTTGCATCAACAACTGCTCTACAAGAAGTTGTTTCTTTGTTGTGTTTGTTGTAAGGTTTTCACTAGTACTTTGTTATGAGTCTCAATTCAAATATTTTTATCTTTCAATTCAAATCCAAAATCATTTTGTTAATATTGATTCAAATTCCAAAATTTAATCTCAATTTAAATGTTTTTATCTTTCAATTTAAATTCAAATTAATTTTCTTATCTCTTTTTCTAATACTTATATCTTTCAATTCAAATTCGAAATCAAAATATTTTAGATCTCTATTCAAATATTTTTATTACAATGCTTATTAACTTTGTCCTAAAAGTGCCACGTGGCTCCTTTTTTAACAGGCCGCTTGGTATAATGTCAGGGCTTACCACTCTCCTTATATATTTTATATTTTTAGTTGCTCTTATCTATGTATTGCTACTGCATGTATTTTTATTCTGTATTCAACCCCTCAGCAAGTAATATATAATCGTGTATAAGTGTGTGGGTACTGTATATGTCGAAAAACGAAAATGGTACTGAAACTTTGTAATAATGGAGAATTTTGAGCTTTTGTGCGGGAAACAAAACGAAATCACTTGTGAGAAATGGTATGTGATGAGTTTTGGATTTAGGTGGGTCGAGGTTGGAAAGAGCAGAGGTTGGTGTTTTCTTCCCCTGTTTGTAAAGGGAAGTACAGGAGGTTGAACAGCTTTTTCTTTCCCTCCTAAATTGGATGTGAAGTCCAGTGTATATTTTCTACCCCTTTGTGATCATGCTCGATCCAACGGAAGTAAATCGTTGAACTTTTCTCTTCTTTATCCTTCTTCCCGTGAAACAAAATATTGTGTACGGGTTGGCTTCATCGGATGGATCCTCTAGAAGGCCTTAAAATATAAACTCTTCTTTGAAGATAGCAGACAGACATTTCTGATAAATCAGATAGAAAGTGAGATTAATTGGAAAGAAAAGCCAATTGAGGAAACCGATTTTATTCCAAGGAAAATGTTGAGCAGCAGTGTTCCAGAGTAAATCTAACGATTATGACTCCAAGGACATCTAACATTTCTGTTTGTACTTTGAAAGACTGCTAAGGTAAAGCCACAGCCTGCGAAGCTTCTACAAAATCTATGCTAAAGCCTAAAAGACAAGACCTACTACCAAATCTAACTTTTTTCCTGCACATAAGCTTATATTATCTATTTTTTTGCACCGTGCTGGGTACACTTATATTTTTTGATTTTCTGTTTTCAGGGTTCCTGTTCTTTGACACAACAGCATCTTGGTTCAGAAGAACCTAACATGTTCAGGTATTTCTTTGTCTGAGCATGAATCGAGGAGCTTTGCTTAGAAGATGTACTCACTTCTGTTCCATCTGCACCCTCTTTTAATGCAGGCTTGCACCTGAAACAGTTGAAGATCTTGAAGATTTTGTTTCGAGATTTTTTGAGAGCCTGCCTGCTAGTACAGTTGTCTGTCTTAGCTTGCTTGGACGCTCTGTTTCGAATTTGTTGACTGAATTGTTGCATTCTCCGCACCCCATTCAATCATGGGTTCTGTTATCCCGCATGAGCTCAACTAGTCAGCCTATCACTGTAATTTTGCCGGCACATTCTATTGTAAAAGGTAATACAGTCTTGTATTCTAAACGAAACAGTAAATTCATGAAAGATATCGTTGGCTTATTCTTCCTTCATGCCATCAGAAGCTTCAGATGATGTTGGCCAATTCGCTTCCAGTTTTCCATTTGAAGTCAAAGATAAGCACTGGCATTGCCCTTGGTTATCCAGCGTGGTTGATGATGTGGCACCAGTCTTTAGAGATATATTAGAGAATAATTACTTGTCCTCTTCTGTGCACCTGTTAGAGGATACTACAGAGAGCAGATCATCATGGTGGAAGTGGAGGAAACAACTTGATCAGCGCCTTGCTAAATTTTTACGGTTAGTCTTAAATTATTTTTCATCTCATTTAATGTTCCATGAAAAAGCTTGTCTCTCTGAATTTGGATCGGATCTTTCAATACGGAATTGCTTGGAGTTTTGGCTGTTTGCTAAAGTTCAGTTGAAAGGTTGGTGTTATGACGATGATTTTGTATAATTGTTGATGCCTTCACCTTTCCATCTGAAAGTTAAGAGAGAAGTCACTGAAAGTTATGTCTATCATTCCTATCATAATGCCAATTCACTTTCAAATAAGCACTCAAAGTATTGTATGTTTAACTTTATACGCCTCAGGAATCTAGAGGATTCATGGTTAGGTCCTTGGAGATACCTGCTTTTGGGTGAATTGTCAGAATGTGAGCTCCTGGATTCACTAGTGAAGAAACTTTATGATCATTTTAGATGTAAAACTGGAGCTGATGTTCATAAAAGCCTTCTTAAAGTAATTCTCGGAGCTGCGAAGTACGCTTGTGAGAAAGAAAGTCACGTTTCTCAGATGGTTTTAAATAAAGGATGTCACCTGCATGGAGGGGGTAATGGAAACTTCAAAGTGTTCGATAAGACATCTACCGAAGTTGATAATCTCTGTGATTCAGTATACAAGTCTATACTTGATGAAGCCCAAGAGATGGTAGAGACTGAATCCATACGTAGAAGACCAGTTATTCTTGTTTTGGATCTTGAGGTGCAGGTCTGTTTTCTTCTCTTCTTCCTTGTGTCTTGATTCAACTTTGTGCTTCATTATATTTTAAGTTTCTTATGCTAGCCAAAAGCTTTGCAGAAAGGAAATATAAAGTCCTGTGTTTCAAGAACTTGGAACTCTCTGGAAATGATAGAGTTTGTTATATATTGCTATTTGTTGTTTCATGTAGCCCGAGACATTGTGCATTTTTAACCTGAAAAAGCTTTAGTTATCTGGTTCTTACCTAAGTTTATGCAGTTGTTTTGCTAATTGGCAAAAGTCCAGTAACCTTTTTTAAACAGAAGGTGTTTTGGTTAGGAGAATAATGATCACTTTCTGCAGATGCTTCCCTGGGAGAACCTACCAGTATTAAGAAACCAGCAGGTTTATCGCATGCCCTCAATTAGCAGCATCAGAGCAACCCTGATCAAGTGTTGCCCATATCAACAAGAAGTTCAGATGCTAGAGTGCTACCAAGGATCTCCTATGGATCAAGGGGTTCCATCACATTCCATTCCTTTGATTGATCCACTGGATTCCTATTATCTTTTGAATCCAAGTGGAGATCTTAGCAGCACGCAGTTAGAATTTGAAAGCTGGTTCAGAGATCAGGATTTTGAGGTAATTTCTACTTTACTCCTGATATTAGAACAGTAAAAAGAAACCTTAAGCATCACATTTCACCAATTCTGCATGTGCATGTACTTTAAAAGTTCATCTATATCTCTACCCTACAAAAGTTACGTTCATTAAGTTTCTTCCTTTATGAATGCTAAAAGGACCCTATTATTTTTAATGAGTTTCAGCTGAAAAATGAGATATAGGTGTTTTCCTTAAATGGGAGGAAAATTCGCAGAAAGATTTTTTTTTTTAACCTATACAAAAAAATTCTCATGTCTCACTCAAATTAGAGTCTTGACCCAATAAACAGGAAAACAACTGGGGATCATAGAAATACAGATCTCTAATGTTTTAGCTTGAACTAAAGGCTTGATAGTAGAGTATCAATACTGTTTTAAAATGATTATTGACTTGAACTATCCTGATAAACCATGGTTTGTGGGTCCTAGACATAATAAGCTGAATGAAGAAATACACACACACACACACACACACACACACACTCATATATATATATATAGTATTTTATGTTGTTTTGTTTACTGTGGGAACTATAGTGGTTCTATCATTTTAGACTGTTTCCACTAAAAAGTAGTGATATCTGACTTTCTGATTATAAGTAAAAATTAGGATAAATAATCTTATGAGTCAATTGTCAACTATCTTAGTCCCCATATTAGTTGGGTCTGTTGTATGCTTCCTTTGTATATATTTTCGTCTATTAAGGTCCATTTAATATCAAAAGTATTCATTCTAGTTAAAACTATTTACATGTTGTCAACTTACTGCAACCTTCTTTTATGCTCTGCGAATATAATCGATCTACAAATAATTATATTATTTTACTTTTTTGTGCAGGGGAAGTGTGGAACTGCACCGGCAGTAGAAGAATTGGCTGAGGCTTTGAAGAGTCATGATCTTTTTATTTACTTTGGCCATGGAAGTGGTACGTTCAAAGTCTTGGAACTGATTCTCGACATTATCAGGGTGATTAAGTTTTACTTATTATTGCCTATATGCCCTATCAGTAATAATATGTTGCTATGTGGCATTTCAGGAGCACAATATATCCCTGAGCATGAGGTAAAGAAACTAGAGAGTTGTGCTGCTACTCTGCTTATGGGGTGCAGTAGTGGGTCGCTGCATCTGCATGGAAGCTATGCTCCTCGGGGTGCTGCCCTCGGCTATCTGTTAGCAGGTTCTCCGGTTATAATTGCTAATTTATGGGAAGTGACAGACAAGGATATTGACAGATTTGGAAAGAGCATGCTTGACGCTATCCTGAGAGAAAGATCAAATGTTTCTTTTAGATGTAATAAATGTGATACTCTTTCACATAAACTCGAGTCAATGAAAATTAGCGACAGCAAAAGAACTGAAAGGATTAAAAAAGAGAAAGATACAGCACCTTATATGTGTAAAAACAATACATCTACTAACCACTGTAACCACAGACCAAAGATTGGATCATTCATGGGGCAAGCTAGAGAGGCATGCACTCTCCCTTTTTTGATTGGAGCAGCCCCAGTTTGTTATGGCGTCCCCACTGGAATAATCAGCAAAAAGAATTTGTAATATTGTCACTTTAGTATATGATAATGTCAAAGTCCCATTCTTTTTTCTTCGTACTCTCAAGAATCTCCATCATATTAAATATCGTGGTTTGAGCTAATCAAAGATAAAAGATTTGCAGTATCGTCGTGATGAAGAATATCAATTCACTGAGAAATCTTTCAAATAGTATGAGAAGATATACGTGTATAGAAATTTATTGTGGGGATCCACACAATGCTTGAACAAGTCAAATCAGTGCGGGACATCGAATTTGCCTCTTGAATTTAATGATTCAGACTGCCGTGATGAGCTTCTACGTTACTAAGTTGTACAAATGTATTATTCAATTTGATTTAATTTTAATGTCATATTAATCTCCAACTTCCTGATAAAATAAAGTGAAATGTTTTTTTTTATGTGAAATGGTATTTGATAATTAGAGTTGTGTTTCGACATGAATATAATTTTGGGTTGTTTTTAAATTTTTGTAAGTGATTTGAGGTGAAAATTTTGAAAAATAATTTTTGGGTAGTTTCGAAATTCATCTTTAAATGGAAATCTAAAATTTTATGGCCAAACAATGATTTCAAAAGGAAAAAAATTCCGAAAGAAGGAAATCGTTTTTTATGGCCAGACGGGCCGTCGGGCCCTAAAATATTTATGTGGAACCCACATTCGACAATCTCTACACAGTTCTCTATTTTGTTTTACAATATTTTATGAAATTAATCAGCCTTGCATGTCAATTTAATAAATGCTGAAGAGCTATAAGGTCTTTCCTTAGCATACAATCACCAATCCCTAAGGATGAATGAACTTCACTGGACGGATAGATAATGGATTACGTACATACAAGTTTAAGTAGTAAAAGGTGAACAACAAAATTAAAATGTACATCAGAAATTGCATTCATACAAGAATTGACATATAAATGTTCAGGCAGAATAAGGAAATTACAGACTACCAATTACAGAGAAACTGATCTTTCTTTAAGTGCCCGCCAATAATTCTGAGCCATCCTACAATCTACCATGTATCAAACATCAATCAGAGGCAGATGCGCATGAGAATGTTAGAGCACAGTTAAATCCTAAACTAAGCCCTAAATTATTTCTTTTTCACAATTTTGAAACATACACAAATTACGTCTATCGCCGACCCGCATTGGCCTCTCTACGTCTTCGTCTCCTCCCAGAACGCCCCAAAAGGACCCTACCTTCACGACGAAGACGCCCAACTAGCGATATGCCACTATCATCATTATCATCCCCGCTATTGTCACTGTCTGCATCAGAGTACTCAAAACCACCGCTTGGGAGGTTTCCCTCAATACCACCAGCACCTCTATCCAAAGTGTCACTTATGTCTCTGTCATGCCGCCTCATAACCCGATTTGACGCAATGTTCCCTGCAGAACCAAAAGCCTGCAAAAACAGAAACATATTCATCAAATTGCGATCGATTCCCACTCCAAAACCTTCATTCCCATTCATCGCATTCACATCAAAACCCTCTTCATCCTCCGAATCAAAACCATAATGACTTCCTTCTATCACGTAATCACCAAATACCACCGCCCCTGGCATTGAAGAAGTTATAGTGCTGATAACATCATCCCTCTCTCGTTCCCGCTCAAGCCTTCTCCATTTTTGTTCAAGAAGAGGATCTACCTCACGTGGCCTGGCAGAGGGGTGCTCTGCCTTAACATGTTTTCGCATCTCCTTGTAGCTTCCAACAAATGAGCAATCATCCTGCATGCAGCTACGTGTCTTCATATTCAGATATTCTCTTGCAGGTTCAACCACAGTCCATCCCTTCACTTGGCCTCTACATAGCGGGCATGCAACTTCGATGACCTCGTTTTTCTCCGAAGGCAAAGTAGAAAACAGGCTCGCAGTTGTAGTATCAGTAGGACCCTGCATAGATTGATTGTCATCTGGCAGTGTTTCTTTAGTGTAGGCTTTCTTGTACTGATCGAGGCAGTTTGAATAGCGTAAGCTAGTTCCGCACATGTAGGGGCGGCAGCCTTTGTCATGAGAGGAACACAGGAGCAGCACAGCATTATGGGGATATTCCATGCATACGGAACAAGTTGCATCTTCCCAGTCTTTCTTCTCAAAGATTTTGGAACATTTCTTTTGGTGCACATGTTCACAATGATCTGCAGATGGCAAAGGGTATGGTGTGGCCCTGCATCGTCGAGAACCAATCCTACGTCGTCCTGTGGTCCCTTTAGCCATTTTTCCTAGAAAAATCTGCAGGAGCAGAACTTCAATATTTAGCAAGATAGCACTACATTAAAAAAGAGCATAGTCATATCCTCAGAATATTTTATGAGTGTTCAAGTAAAGTATGCTTCCTAACTTCTTTACCATATCTTGTTTAACTAGTATCTCCTTCCTATTTTATGGTTCAACACATGACAAAAGAACAGAGATCTAGAGCAAGAATTTCACTACATGACAGGTTTCAACAAATCATAAATTTCAGTGACCTTGAGTAAGTGCTCTAGCTATCCATAGGGCATAGGTTGCTAAGAACAGGGAAAACAGATCGAACACAAAACTTAGAAGAGCCATGTGTTTGCTTGTTTTTCTGGTCTGTCTATGTATGTAAAATGGAAGCATGAAGCTCAATCAAGGAAAGAACAATAGTGCAGACCTTTTGCAAGAGGACCAGAGATTATACCGAGTAACATAGAGCCATCATTAAATACAGAGTGACATGCAAATAGAGAAATAGTGCATCCATGTGATAATCAATAAACATCAGATCAGCCAACGAATTCCCTCAATCTCAAACTAGATGGGGTCAACTATATGAATCCCTTGTATCAATTCTGCTCTACCAAGCTGAATATTTAGAGGACAGTCAAATTTTACACAATAATTTGATAAATCAAACCAAAACTTTTGTAAATCAAATCTGGTCAAAAAGCAAATTACGTTTATCTTTTGGAATTCTGAGTCCACTTTGACTGGGTAACTGCCCGTAATATGTTGTTAAGTTAAAATACACAAGTATTCATATAAAGCAATAACCTAGACCCACAATATGAATTTTAAATAAAATAATAATAATAATTGCACTCTCAAAACAAAAATAGACAATTCAGTTGAATAGATAAAAAATGACAATAACATCTCAAACAGCAAACAAAAAGCTATACTTCAAACAATAGGAATAGCAAATGCATTTAGTTGGATATGATCACAGAAGACAAATCAGCTCGGAATCCCCTCAAAATAGTAGAGAGAGGGATTTGAAAACAAATCAGCTTGGAATAAAAGGCCAGCTCAGAAAAAATCGGGTAACATCATCCATGTATTTGCTGTAAGAGACAGCAAAATACGCCCTCTGCTTACTGAGAAAACCAAGGAAATATACAGATTGATTCCAAAAAGATCAAAGACCACAGAAGACAGAAGTGCAAGAACTTTCATTTCCATCAAGAAGACAACTACAGACTCCTGTCTCGACATGCACAGAAAGATAATTAAATGAGATCTCTGAAGTTGCCTGAAAAGCATCAGGTGCTAGCGGCTAAATCACAATTCTGATACTAGACATCGTTGACCTCATATTCTACTGAAGGAATGGATTCAAAATTTGGAATATGTATCTTGCCCTAGACTTTATACCTAAATACTCTTAAAATTTACTTCAATCCGTCTTCCCTTGCAGGAACAATGAGGAGGGAGAGTGAAAGAATCTAATGGTACACTATCACCCAAAAGAAGGAAAACCAAGGCATCATGATTCAAGGAAGGAACTCACTAGTCAACTTCCTCAGAAGAATGAAAATATGTGAAAATATAAGTGTGAGTATGTGTGTGCGTGCGTGAAACAACAACAACAAAAATCTGCATTACAAAATCTAAAATGAAAAGTCTGATCAGCAATTTAAAAAGTTAAATGAAAGACACCTAAACATTCAACCTATTACTGCAATTCACTAAATCATCGCCCTTGAGAAAAGAGAAACTATTTCAATAACCTCTCAAATGTCAGCTCCTAATATATGATTGGAACTACTAAAGCTACAGATCCCATCATAACTTAGCCCCCCCCCCCCCTGCGCGGAGATTCTAGCTCAAAGCTCAAGTATCACCATCAACTCCCGAAACAACAAAAAATGACACACTGATTAAACAATCTATCAGTTTTGAATTACAACAATGGCGATCTGACTATCACAAAATTGGGGAATTCAGAGGCTGTCAAGACCATAGCAATCCAAGCACTTGATCACATTGACATACCGCAATAACAAGTCATTAAAAGCAACTGTGCACTAACATAAAAATCAATTTTTGCAATTTCTTAGACAGAATTGCCTTAGTCAATTGTATAATTCAGACCGTCAAGCTAAATTGATCAGAAAAGAAATGAAAAGACTCACACTCGCCTTGAGTTTGGAGCGAATCTGGATCCAAAAAATGATAATTGTAAGCAACAAAAAAAGGTACACGCTAGCTATATATATATACTCCCCAATTTATCTACTACAGACGCAAAAGGGGAGGTTCAGAAAATGCACCCAATACACGAAACAACGTGCAAAATCACGCGAGAAGACAGTTAATAAAACGAATTAATTAATACTCCAATAATTCAAAAACTCATTACAGCGAAAATTCATTTAAATAAAACAATAAAAACAAAGACAAGCACATGACGCCTTGACCTTTTATAACCTCCCCATCAATCTCAGATTCACCATTAATTTAATCGAATTATCACATCCTTCAATTGTCCCATTATCCACAATATCCCACAAAAAAAAAGTAATTAAAATAGAAGGATTCTTACCGGAAAAAATCAATTGATTAAATATGGAGTATGAATTGGTAAAAATATGAGGGGAGATAAAAAGAGAGAGCTAGGGTTTTTCTGGTAAAAAAAGGAGAGATCTGAGAGGGAATTAAATTAGAGCGCGGGCATTTGTGTACAAAATGGAAAATAAATATAAAAGAAAAATTATTGGGTTTTTGGATTGGAGGAAAGAGAAAATAAAAATGAGGGGAAGCGAAAAAAAAGGGAAAATGAGAGAGAAAGAGAGAATAAA